CTTTGTCACCATCGTCCCCGTTATTACTTTCTTCGTTGGGCCTACTTTTCTTGGATTCCCACCATTTCCCAGCACCATAGGCTGTTCCTCCATATGCCATTCCCGAATAAAACCCACCTGTCGCTCCAATGCTCTGAAGTGTAGCAAAGGCACTTCCAGCTGCAACATTGCCGACTGACGCCTGCCATGCTGCCGCAATAGTACCTCCCACTATGCCACCCGCGCCAAAGCCCACAAGAGTGGCAGCTGCGCATGGAACAGCGACGGCAACTCCCACTACCTTCAAGATCGTGGATCCCTTGGTACCAGTGTCACTGCTATTTTGTTCCAACTGGATTCCAGCGCCGCAAAATGGGCAGAATCTCGTTGGTTCAGTCATGTTGAATGCAGGCGATACAGTAGTGTTGGTCGTATTCCGTGCACAATTTTATGTTGTCACCTCATGTGACACAAGAATTTTGCGAATTTACGACTTCTTGGACCATTCGAGTTCCGAAGACTTTCGAATCACGTACAATAGCTACAGTATCTGGTAGCTACCAGTACGTAATAGTACTCTTAGAGCTCACCAATCCTTTACATGAAGTAACAGCGTGCTTAAAGTATAATGTTATTGTTGTCTTCTACAACGGAAGTGATGATGAGAAGAACCCACAGCTGATCTTTCTCGTCTGTTCATCATGAAATAGCATGCAGCGGCTGAACAATTTTCAGACTCATACTGAGTGGCGTATTTAATTTACACCTCGACTCCCATCATCTTGGCGACTTGTGGCATGTCCTTGTCCCCGCGTCCACTCATGTTGATGACAATATTTTTGCCAGGTCCCAATTCTTTGGCCAACTGGACAGCATAGTAGATGGCGTGACTTGTCTCCAAAGCAGGAATGATACCTTCGTACTCGCACATCATCTTGAATCCCTCCATGCACTGGACATCAGTGATGCCAACGTAGGTGGCACGGCCGATATCCTTGAGGTAAGCGTGTTCTGGTCCAACTCCGGGGTAATCCAAACCGGCAGAGATGGAGTGTGTGTTCAATGTTTGACCAGATTTCTTTTGAATCACAAAGGTCTTGGCACCTTGCAAGACTCCTGGAGTTCCAACAGTCAAAGTTGCACAGTGGTTTTCATCAACATCAATACCCTTTCCAGCGGCCTCAGCTCCATACAAAGCGACCTCCTTATCCTCAACAAAGGGGTAGAAGGCACCAATAGCATTGGATCCTCCTCCGACGCAGGCAACGATTGCGTCTGGCAATTTTCCATCATTCTTAGCTTTAAATTGCCACTTGATTTCCTTTCCCATGATGGATTGGAAATCTCTGACAATAGTGGGGAAGGGGTGGGGTCCAACAGCGGAACCAATCAAGTAGTGAGTGTCGCGGACATTGGTGACCCAATCACGCATGGCCTCATTGATGGCATCCTTCAAGGTTTTTTGACCTGCCTCAACGGGGACAACCTTGGCTCCCAAGGTGTTCATACGGAAAACGTTCAACTTTTGTCTCTCGCAATCGACGGCGCCCATGTAAACGGTGGCATCCAATCCCATCATGGCGCAGACAGTAGCAGTAGCGACACCGTGTTGTCCGGCGCCAGTCTCTGCGATGATGCGGGGCTTGCCAATGCGCTTGGCCAAAAGTGCTTGTCCAATAGCATTGTTAATCTTGTGGGCACCAGTGTGGGCCAAATCCTCACGTTTGAGCCAGATAGTGGCACCTCCAGCCATCTTGGTCAAACGCTCTGCCTTGTGAAGAGGAGTGGGTCCACCAACAAACTCGCGACGGTAGTAGTCCAACTCGGCCAAGAAATCAGGATCGTCCTTGATTTTGTCGTAAGCCTCTTCGATTTCTTCAAAGGCAACAGAAAGAGTTTCTGGAATGTATTGTCCGCCAAAATTTCCAAACATGGACTTGTTTGGCTTTCCTGCCCACTCCTTGGGGATTTGTCCCAACTTGGTGGCTTGGTTCTGAGCTCCCTCTTGCTGCTTGGTTCCAGCGGCAAGGTGGGCAACAATCTTCTTGACGGCAGCAGCACGCTGTTCAGTGGTGGCGTCCTTTCCTTCCTTCTCCATGGCATTCAAGATAGCGGATCCAACAACACAGCCATCAGCCATCATAGAAACTCCATTGACCATTTCAGGGGAAGAGATTCCAAATCCAACCGCCAATGGCAATTGCGTGTGACTACGAACACGCTTGATGAAGTCACTGAGATCTGGTGGAAGAGTGTCACGGGCACCAGTAACACCAGTGACGGAAACGCAATACAAGAAGGACGAAGCCATTTCGGTCAAAGAAGCAATACGCTTGTCACTAGATGTCGGGGCGACCAAAGGGACGTTGGAAAGTCCGTGCTTGATGCAGGCCTTGTTCAATTCAATTCCCTCCTCAGGTGGAAGATCGACAACAATGAAACCATCCGCACCAGCTGCCTTGGTCTCAGAACATAGCCTTTCAGATCCATATTGGAGGAAAGGGTTGTAGTATCCCATAAGAACAACTGGAACAGTCAAACCCATATCCCGGGCCGCCTTGACCAATTCCAAACAAGCGCCGATTTCGGAGGTTCCTCCAGCAATAGCGACTTGGTTGGTGTGTTGAATAGTGGCTCCATCAGCTTGGGGATCAGTGTATGGGACACCCAATTCAATAATGGAGGCTCCTCCCTCTTGCATAGCCATCAAGATGGCGGGAGTGTCTATAACAATGATAAATTTGGAGTAAAATTTGTAAGTTTCAACTGTGCCAAGTTTCATTGTCCTCGCTTTCTCTCTGAAGAACCCTAATTAAACGATCTGATTCCGAATCGTATAAATTTTGAATCCAATCTATGCCGAATCATCGCAACGTACCTGCACGAGTCGGGTATCCAGCTGTGATAAATGTGATGAAAGCAGCTTCGCCCTTAGCCTTGGCGGCTTCGAATGCGGCTTCGATTCTTCCACCCATTCCACGTTCCATGTCTGCGACTGCCATTTTGTGATTCGTTTTAAATTCTTTGCTCGGGTTGTTGATTAGTGATAAATGTCCAAACTTGAGTTCTGCTAAAGTTTGAGATTGACGTGCAAATGATACTGTGATGCAAGTTATACAAGTAGTAAGTAACCAAAGAAGATTAAAAATTGCTGGATGATCTTTTGCAAATACAACAGATGCTGATGAGTGTGAATTTCGGTGGGTTGTCGTAGTTTCGAAACCCGGTGTCCGCAAATCTGAAGAAGATTGGTCCAGGTCAGTGCTTCGTACCAGAAAGAATCGTGATTGGTCAACCCACCTGGAACTACGAGAGGTTGAAGGACAAACTTACGTAGAAGTTGAAGTGCTCATAACCCAGCATGACACATCATCTTCACCTCGGCAGTTTACTCTTATTCTGATGTTTAGTGATATTGATACAAAGACAACAACGTATTGTAAATCTATGTATACTATACAAGTTGTTCAGCCCATTATTCGCTCAGATGCGTCGTGCACCATGAATATTCTCTCTTTGTGGCTGACAATCGTGTTTGCTTCTTATTGTTCAATCTGTCACACACCACCAGCCAACTTCTTCTTGTTCGTCAACTACTGGTAGTTTCGACACTACTGTATCTTTTACAGCGCAGCCATCATGCGGTTGACTTTTCTCCATTTACAGTCCAAACATGTTGCTGTTGTTGTCATTGTCCGAACCTCCTCGGCCACCTCGTCGACCTGGTTTCTTATTGGTCATCAAGTCCAACATATTTTTCATATCGACCTTGTCGGTTGTGACCTGATTCCGCTTGATGGGCGTTGGATCCAACTCTCCTGTAATGACTCCATAAGCTACTCGGATCCCTAGCAAAAAGATGCCCAGTCCCGTCACACCAAAAAAGCCAGACGCCAAGGAAACCAATCCCATGGATACATTCCGTACCACTTGAGCGGATCGTTGGACAAAGTAGATATCTGTAGTGACTGGATGGAAGGTAAAAAAGGCAGCCAGTTTCCCAGTAGCATACCACAAGGCGGCAGCGACACCCAAGGCAAAGAAGGATCCTGTCAAGGCGACAGCTGGATTGACCCCATTCAAGTCTCGGGCTGCTTCAATGGCAGCTCGGATTTCCGCGTCCGACTTGCGGGGACGACCATAACCATCCACTAGACGCAACTTTTTGCCAATAGACGATCGAGCGCCATACTTTTCTTCTTTTTCCTGGGCCTTGAGTTCGGCCATCAATCGTTCATTGACCGTGTTGGTCACTGCCTTGTCGGGAAGTGTTCTTTCTTTTCTCGTACCATCATTGTCCAAATTGACAGTGGATTCCGGAGTATCCCGAGAGAACTTGACATCTGTCTCTTTGTTATCTATAGAAAGGTATCTTGCCGTGCCAATCACTGGACCAGAGGATGTTGTTCTCGTTGTGCTGAAGCTCGTAATGGAAGGTCGTGCCGCCAATTGGAACGAGAGCCCTGATTTGGTGAGAAGTATAGCCGCTAAGAGGAGCAAGTGAATCGTTGATTGAGAAGCCATGGTGCGTTGTGTTGACAGTGGTGTTGAAGCGTATGGGAAGATGATTCAATTCTGATGGTCAGCTGTGTAGGTCCTTGCAGGTCGTTCAAGTTTGATGTCAAAGGCTGTTGGTTGACGTTGGTCCGTTGAGTCCATCATCCGATCCGTTCGATCCAACGCACCAAATAGAATAGTGATACAGTAGTTCTGTAACTCAACCATGTGATCTTCGCGAAACGTGTGTCAGACATGCCCTGTTGTTAGTTGCATTCTGTCATAGGTCGAAAGCAGCATGTCTTCGCCCTCCTCATCTTTAAGCATCACGCCTGATCATCGAACACGTTCGAATCTCCATGTCCAGATAACCAACAATGACTATGAAGATGACAATCACATCGATCTTCTCATGAGACATTCGTCTCCCATTGATCGGCTAAATCATCCTAACAGTAGCCCTTCGCCGATAACAGTGAGGAATTCCAGTCCGTCTCTTATTGGATTGAGTCGGCCAAGGAGCAATCCTAGGAATCGAACGCCAATGCGTTACGAAAGTCCTCTGCCTACCTCTGCCTTTCGCATCCCGGAAGAGCAGCATGAGGATCAAGAAGGACATCCCGCGACTACTGAGGGAAGAAGGATTACTATTTTGCCCATGGCAGGCAGTGCGAGAGGTACTAATGTTGCCAATTTTCGAGTAAGACTACTACTGAAGATAGTGTCAGACACTATCCTCATCAGAAACGTTGGACAAATCCTGACATTTTCTCTTCTTCACCTCTAATAGAACCGCCAAAACGGATCCAATCAAGTTGATCCAACCAAGAGTAGGAAACAGGGACCCTCTCATCGCAAAGTACGCCGATGGAATAATGACAACTTCGTCAATCTTGCCAAAGAAGTCGGAGGATCCAACAAAGCTGCCGAGGCCCTCTTGCGTGGACATGCGCATGCAGGTCAATATCGAAACATCCTGCCTCACGAGCAGTCTCGCAAGAGTATCATGACCAAATTGTCGGATAGTTCCACCAAGAGCGAGGAACTGAGATATGTCCGCGATAAGTTTTATGACGGTGAGCTGCACAGTGCCCAACCCAAAAAGCATATCAATCACAAGAACCACAAAAAGCCAACTCACTTGTTGACAAGAGACGACAAGATGAATCGAATTGACAAGCGACTCCGACAGGTAGTGACACGCGCCATTGAAAATTCACTTCCTGCCACCAAAGTGATGGAAACTTTGGAAGACTTTTTGATTCAGGCGCATACTAGCAACAAGGATCAAATCATTGCAGCCCCGCAAGACGAGCAACTTTGGAATGACATCTTGTCCCAGCCTCCTTCTATTGCAAGGCACGGAGACGAAGACCAGCAGATGATTCTAGTTCTTCGTTTCTCCTTTGATAACAACAGTTCTTCCAATGGTGGATTCCATAGACTCTTGTTGCACGCTTTGGTTCAATTTCATGGCCTTGTGGCCCATTCGGCAACCACACCGACAGGCGGACGGCTCCTAACGGCGACGGGATACCTGGCTGACGCCAACCACAAACTGGTGGAGTCCATCATGGAGCGACAAGAGGA